TCATCATAAATAATTATGGTTGGACACTGCACAGGGTGTCAGGAAAACTGTTTCACTTTCTTTGCAAAGAAAATTATTGAAATAACAACAAGGAATGGCTGATATTGGTCCAAAGTCCCCTATACAAAAGAAGAGAGGAATTATCATATAAGGTAGAAAATTATCTAAATTGATATTTGCCCAGGTTTTATCTTGCCAGAACATAGACTAGACTAGACAATGAGAGAGACATGTCAGTTCTCCCTTGAATGGGGTTTATAGGGTAAAGCCGCCATATATTGTGAAAATACATCTAGTGATGAAGCAGTCTCTGCCCTTTGAATGCTAGCAAAGATCAACAAACCTCTTTCACAGAGGTTCCCAACCTGGGAGGCCATGAGGCAATGTGAAAATTTTGATGTCCAACTGAACTGAATTTTATCTCACCTACAGTTCCTACATATAATTCTCTCTCATATATCAGTAAATTGAAATATTTCCATAAAGTGTTCATGTCCTATGGCTACTGACAGCATTACACTATCCATAAATAGCAATAACTTAATCTGAAAAGAATAGTCATTGAATGGGCCATGGAGACTATTATATATTGGTCTGGGGCCACAGAATGAAAAAGGTGGGAACTAGTATTTATTTGAAAGACAGAAGACTATCCTTGGCAATTTATTATGAAATAAGAAACCAGCCAAAACTTTATGTTACCCTAACTTATGTGTTACTTGTCCTTGTCACAACATAAAGAAAGATGGCCACACCAATCCTTGCTACAATCCTGTTCTAGATAATTACTTAGAAAAGAAAAAAGAAGAATCACAGGAGTCTAAAATTTACATGAACCCATGTCTGATTTAAAATAAACTCTCAGTTTTAAAATGTGTATGAGAATCATACACATATTGCAGTATCTGGGTGCATAGCTAACATAGCTTGTTTGGAACTGCTTGTCCAACTTGGACAAGATGTATTTACACTTCAGAACCCCAATTTTGGCATATGGGACAAGTAATTCATCTCATCCATCTCACCCATTTAACCCTTGATGACAGGTGAAGAAAATTTTTAAAAACCTCTACGCTCTGGAGATCAATGGCAATGCACTGACTTTGAGCACGGGAGTTCTTTACATCAAGTCGACTCAATGGCTCGTAGCACTTTGGTGCGCCTCCGCAGAGTACAGCCGCATGCCACAGATTGAGCAGTTTGTTTCAACACCTCAAGGCGTGACCCGTTGGGTAGGGGTTAAGCAGCAAGCAAGCAGAATGAGATGATGTCTTAATTGCCTCTGTATACAAACAATAGTAGTTTCAGGCAATCATGAGATAGTTAGCAAGTAATTTCACAGTTCTTTATTTTCATTCTTAACCCACCAGATCCTGGTGCCTTGTAGCACAGAAATGGACAAAAATTCAGGTATTAGGCTTCCTTGAGCACCAACACTCCCAGGTGTGTGGCTTGTAGGCTCAGCCTATATGAACAATTTGGTGCAGTATAAAGTCTCCTTAATCCTCTTTGCAATGTTATTAGCCTTTTTTCTGCAGGCACATTTTTTGAAGGTCTAATATTTCCCAAGGTCTATATTTGTTTTTTGGTAAGCTGCATGAAGATGGCAATAGACGGTTTTCTTGAGCAGACTCATCAGTATATTCTCTATGTAGTTTTCAAACTGTACAGTATCAGTAAAAATAAATACTGTGTTATTTGATATTTTATATACATTTTGGTATTATTCAGTTTTCAGTTTTTTTTCTCCAAAATACCCTAATAATGGCTGGCAGGAAAATCTTCCTGTGAGTGGAGACAGTGTCCTCCCTGAAATGGCCCTATTCCAAGCATGAATGATGGCTCCTAAACTTAACAAATGAGCCCTTTCCTGAAGGACCACTGAGTCAATCACAATCCTAGTGTTTTGTGCCATGATAAGATGTCTTGTCACCCACCCCTTAGCTAATGTTTTTTTCCATGAAGAGATGTTTCCATCACCCCCTTCAGCCAATTTTTTAAATCATAAGCTGTCCATGTGACCTGAATCAAAGGCTTTTATTGATATCAATTGCAGATAAGTTACCTATGCATCTGTATAGCTACACAACAAATGTAACATGTAAATTAAGAACAGTGATACTTTTGGGCTAGTTACATTGTAGGTAATGAAGACCTCATCATCCTGCTGGTCTAAACAAGTTATCTAGACACAATTTAATGTCCAGGGCATGAATATTGCTGTGTAGCATAGCACAACAAATGTAATGTTTAAATTTAAGACAGTGATATAATGATATAATATTTACTTTCGAGCAAATTGCATTGTGTCTAATGAAGACCTTATCATTCTGCTGGTTTAAACAAGTCGTCTAAATGAGCAAAACAAGGAGTACCGAATACAGTATAATGCCCTGGACATAAATATTGATGAACTTCCAAATTGTGTATTTGTTATATTTCAATTTTAATCCTAGACTTCCCTCGGGCTAGTAATATACACCAATTCCGTTTTAGCACTTTATTTATGAATTTAGCAACATACAAAATACTTTGAAGCTCTGTAAGAGAATGTTAATTATTGAATGGCATTAAGAGACACGAACATCTTAGTCACACGTCATAAGCCTTTATTTTTACTTACGGGCTTGATCTGTGGGATTCATGTATTTCCCACTCTTGGTGGTGTTTATGCTGCGCCTCCCCATCTTGAATTGTCTGACTGAGATCCACCTAAGAGAAAAATATATCTAAATCTCGACCATCAGCGTTGTGGTGTTTTGGGATGGGAAGAAAAGCCTGTCGTGTTTGTGTTGTGATTCTCCCACAATGCACCGGGGGGCTGCGGGTCGTGTGTGGACAGGCCGGTTCAATACATGACCCGTTTTCCCTTAAATCTTGGTGTAATAAAGATTGTGCTTCAATATTGCTCATTATTATCCTAGTTTAAAAGTACAATTAAATTGGTTATTATTCTCTTTTACTTTTATTTGCATTGATGAGCAAAATCTCATCATGTCATTATATAATGTATTTAAACCCCTAAAGGCTACATCACTTGAAATCTATGGAAAACTAAGTATATCTGTTCGTGTTTTGCTTCTTCAAAAGTAAATGTTTGAATAGAACAACATATATGTCAAAATATGTCATCATCATTATCATCATAATATATTGTTAACTAACATTTCTCATTAATTAATCGTTAAACAGACATGACTTTAATTACGTCACTGAATGCACGAATTTTAAGTTGATAAAAGCCACATATAATATACACCATACAATGGATACATTTCTGCATATGAGCTCTACGTGGTTGTGTGTGTGTGTGTGTGTGTGTGTGTGTGTGTGTGTGTGTGTGTGTGTGTGTGTGTGTGTGTGTGTGTGTGTGTGTGTGTGTGTGTGTGTGTGTGTGCGTGCGTGTGTGTGCGTGTGTGTGCGCGCGTGTGTGTGTGTGTGTGTGTGTGTGTGTGTGTGTGTGTGTGTGTGTGTGTGTGTGTGTGTGTGTGTGTGTGTGTGTGTGTGTGTGTGTGTGTGTTTATATATTCTAAATAAATCTCGCTATTTGTGTCTTTGTTAGTTCTGTATGCACTCAGTCTCCTGTGACCCTAAAACTTGGACCACAGGGGTAACCTGACATGAGGAATAACGTATGCAGGTTGACATCAAGGTAGGGAGTGCGGCAGAGAGTGGACGGAGCAAATCTTTCCTTATTTCTATTTACAAAAATGAACAGAAATACTGTGCAAAGCTAAAACTTAGTTTATTGAGGTTTTACTTTGGCCTAAGGCTCAATTTGGTATGTAGAGTAACCCAGGCAAGATAGCATGAGGTAGGGGTGTGGCAGTGAGTGGGCGGAGCAAAGCCTGCCTCATTATGTCAGGTTGAAACTTGTGTTGAAATTTTGTTGGGTCTATAGACGAGTTGAAAATCAGTGTATAGTCTGAGGACAAGAATATAGTTCCAGAAATTTCTTGATCAAATGAAATGCTGTTTGTAGTGTTTCTGTGCAACTGCTCTGGAGAGTAAATATCTGCCCGAGCATTGGTCAGAAATTTGCTTTCTGGAATATCCAAAATGCAATATATATATATATATATATATATATATATATATATATATATATATATATATATATACATACATACATATATATATATATATATATATATATATATATATATATATATATATATATAGATATATATATATGTGTGTGTGTGTGCATACATATCAGATATATATATACATATATATACATGTACTATATAAAATCATTACATTTACTTATGTAACTGAGTGAACTTTTATTGATAAGTGTAATGAAAGAATTTGGGGCAAAATGTTTTAGAATCTAAGTTTGAGAAGCCCAACTTATTTATACAGAATGTGTTTTAGGTTTAAGGTATATTCTTTAAAGTTCACATTCATGCAACACTTTGAAATAAAAGGATTTCTAAGAAAAAGAAAGATACTTGGTTTGATTTTATTCACGTGCTTTTCCCATTTTCTGGTGCCATTCCAATCCCTGTAATATATTTTACACTCCGTGGTCTGACTGACTAAATTACCACTGGAATACCTGCTAAATAAAAATCGATGTCACTAAAACAAGTATAACGTACTGATATACCTGTACGTGTTCCATTTTCTATTTTCTAAATACAGCTGAGACTACTGAAATATAATGTGCATCCTGATAGCAACTAACAAAAGATGAGATTACAGAGTAATTATGATATTGAAATCTGAGTTTCATTACTGAAGTTGTAACAATTCTAGATAATGTACTTAAAATGATCCTTTTAGGAGCAAAACAGAAAAGGAGGGAGATGGAGTAAATGCAAAGGTTGCTCTCTGTATCGTGGCTACTGAGACCTATTCAGAGAACACTGTTTAAAAAATAAAATGCAGAAAGCTTAGACAGTCGTCTGAATTTTCTAGATGATGAATTTTCTGATTAGGTTTCCCATCTTTCAAACGTTATGTAGATCAAACCCTCATCCCAAAACAGCCAGCTAATTATCCTTGCTGATATCGTTAATGGCCTCATTCAGATCCTCCAGCTGCTTGAGGAGTCCGCTGTCGTGTAGTAAGTTTGCCACAGCGACCAGGGACGAGCGGATGTCTTGTGCCGATCTTCCTGTTCCTCTGGCCACGCCCGAGACCGCCGCCTTCACCTTTTCCTCAAGAGCTCCGCTGGAGACACTCAGGACGTCCCCTTCAAGGAAGTGCGCGAGAGGCACTTTCAGCTGCTGCAGGTCTCCGAAGACGTGGTAGAAGAAAGTATATATATATATATATATATATATATATATATATATATATATATATATATATATATATATATATATATATATATATATATATATATATATATATATATATATATATATATATATATATATATATATATATATATATATATATATATATATATATATATATATATATATATATATATATATATATATATATATATATATATATATATATATATATATATATATATATATATATATATATATATATATATATATATATATATATATATATATATATATATATATATATATATATATATATATATATATATATATATATATATATATATATATATATATATATATATATATATATATATATATATATATATATATATATATATATATATATATATATATATATATATATATATATATATATATATATATATATATATATATATATATATATATATATATATATATATATATATATATATATATATATATATATATATATATATATATATATATATATATATATATATATATATATATATATATATATATATATATATATATATATATATATATATATATATATATATATATATATATATATATATATATATATATATATATATATATATATATATATATATATATATATATATATATATATATATATATATATATATATATATATATATATATATATATATATATATATATATATATATATATATATATATATATATATATATATATATATATATATATATATATATATATATATATATATATATATATATATATATATATATATATATATATATATATATATATATATATATATATATATATATATATATATATATATATATATATATATATATATATATATATATATATATATATATATATATATATATATATATATATATATATATATATATATATATATATATATATATATATATATATATATATATATATATATATATATATATATATATATATATATATATATATATATATATATATATATATATATATATATATATATATATATATATATATATATATATATATATATATATATATATATATATATATATATATATATATATATATATATATATATATATATATATATATATATATATATATATATATATATATATATATATATATATATATATATATATATATATATATATATATATATATATATATATATATATATATATATATATATATATATATATATATATATATATATATATATATATATATATATATATATATATATATATATATATATATATATATATATATATATATATATATATATATATATATATATATATATATATATATATATATATATATATATATATATATATATATATATATATATATATATATATATATATATATATATATATATATATATATATATATATATATATATATATATATATATATATATATATATATATATATATATATATATATATATACACTGTGGTTCGAGAACATTCCCGCAAAGGAAAGTAGAGGCCGCAAGTGAGGCGTCCATTCTGGTCACGTCCAACGAGCGTCTTAAAGGGGTAGACGAGGTTGCGGCGCTCCGCGACGTCTACGCCAGAGAGGAAGGGTCGCGCAATGTGTATCAAGCTGATGTGATGGTGAGGCGCCTTCCCCTCCCGCTCCTCCGTCACCTCCCACGACACGAAGGCGGGGTTGTCGGGCCAGTAACTGTACCGGTAGGTCCTCACCACCTCCGGGCGTGCGGTGTTGGCCGTTATGGCTCCCGTCTGCGGGGCCTGGCCATCCTCCATTACTGTGATTGGGACGCCGACGTGGTAGCCAGGATCTAGCAGCAGGACACCTGCTCGGCCTGACACGCGGATGCGGACGCAGACTAACACGTGCTCCTTCTCGCAGGTGTTGACAGGCGGGACCTCGGTGGAGCAGTACCACTCAGCGTTGTCTACCTCCTCCTCACACGATACCTGGAAAGATAAGAATAATACTGGTTATATGAAGAAAACGCCTTTTGTGTGACATGTCAAAATCAAACTTCATTATTCAAATATTTCACTTGTAGGTGTTTCAGATTTATTTCCAACACCATATTCTACTAATGTATAAACTGCCAATTAATAATAGTCCGTTCTCTCTAACGTTACCCTAATACAGCGGTGTCTCTCATTACCTGGTAGACAGAATCCTTGAGACCAGGATAGTGGATCTCAAGAGCAGAGAGTCTAGTCGTGAGATCACAAGCCAGGCCTACGCACGTGTAGCGCCCGGGTAAGATTGGAGGATCATAGTCCCTGTAGAATTCCTCAAGGTCCGGGTACTCTTCTCGTGCCAAGACGTACTCCTTGCTGAACCTGCGGAGAAGAGGAACTGTCTTTCATTTCGAGCACAGTGATAATATTATTTTTTAAAAATACTAGGAACAAAGCAATTATAATGTCATGCAGTTTTCTATTATTAGCAAAAAAAAAAAAAAAAAAAAGATAAACATTAGAGTGAACTCACAGGATGAAGTTGGAGACGGTATCATAGCTGTGCGCCGAGAGGACGTGGCGAAGATGGAGGCTCACTTGCCCCAGGAACCTTTCGTAGTTCTCCAGATTCTCAAAGTTGAGTTCCGGCCTCTCGCACCCCCACTCCGGGAGGGGCAGGGCGCGGTCCAGCGGCCACTCATCCTCGCCCCAGTCGCTGTCATCGTCATTGTCGTCGTCACCAATCTCATCAGCAGTCAAAGAGTCGTCCGATGCAGGCGGGTCACCCGTACTAACTTCCGAAGTGCCCACGCCACTCTGGTACCCTGAGGAGGAGGACGACCACGCCCAGAAGGAGGCCTCGGCGATATCCTGAGACAGCCGGGACACTTCCCGTCCGTCGCATTCGCTATAGAATGAAACAGTCAGTGAGTTTTGTGATAGCCGATTTGATAATGTACTATGGTACACATTATATTATACCAACAATAATGATAGTAATTAACAATTACAAAAAAATCATAAGAGGGCTTCTAATACAGAGATATCAGAATAAAACAATATAGCAATTACTGGTCCTGCATTTTTCTCGACGACACTCAAAAAGGAAACCTAACCTGACATCACTGCAGGATCCCGCCGAACTAAGCCCAGCGTCCAGGACTCCCTGGCTGGGGGGGCGGAGGGGGGCACCCGGGCTGGTGCCAACCCCGGATTTGGTCCACAGATGCGCCCGTGCGAGTCAACTGGGCCAGGTCACGCCCAGCCTCGCCCAACGGTCGAAGTGCGGGGCGGCCGACACTTTCTCCTCGGCGCCCACACACACGCCCGCCTCAGCCCTCGGGGGCAGACACGCACTCGTGCTGCCCCCATGCCCACTCAATGGTACTCCTTTGTCTGCTGAAAAAAAAGAGAGAAAGAAGGTAAAGTGAACTGCTCGGGACACCCATGAAATGGACCATGGTTTCCTGTGCAAGCCGGTGTATATATGAAATATACAAATAAAGGTAAATGACTATAAATGTGTGTGTGTGTGTGTGTGTGTGTGTGTGTGTGTGTGTGTGTGTGTGTGTGTGTGTGTGTGTGTGTGTCCCTTCATTTATTTCCATGTACAAACACGATGATCACAAAAAAATGTCTCCTATTTAAAGGTGTGCGACATTGAAACAACAGGAATTTTAAAGCAACGCGGTGGAAAATATTGATCCAGAATTCCCATGACTAGACGGAGATCGCCCTGTCATAAACAAAACGACTGTTTCTAGAATTACCAATGACTTCGAGTGTAATAAATGACGATAGCAGTTATGTGTGAACAATATGACCTTGTAAAAAAATATGAACCCTTAAGTCATAAAAGCAATCATATGCTTATCGAAATTTGGATTAACAATATTGCAGCGAAAATAAAATTATCTAAAAAAGTGATGATATTAAGAAAAAAATACACAGAAACAACAAAGACATTGAACAATAACTATAGAATACAGCGAATCAGCCATAATCGTGTTATCAGTAAAAGTAATAACAATAAATAAATAAATAAATAACAATAAAAAATATACAGAGCACCATCGACAGATAAAACAATAACCAAGAAAAAAAAACACGGTGACTGTAGTGCTCCGTCACCTTCAGTTGTCAAAGGAATTTCTGCTATTTATATTTTATAACAGGTGCATCCAGTCACTACAAAAAAATCATCTCCTATTCAGCTATTTGGAACACAAAACTAGATATTCTGCTAACTTATAAATATACACATCGCAGAAGTTGACAGTCTTCGAAGGTAATAAGATTCTTCGAAACGATAAGAAAGAACGGCACGGAAACGGAAAGAGAATGAGTAACCAGGACCTTCATACTGGCGTTGTGACGTCATTAAGTATGGATTGTTCACTCATCTAGGGTCGAAGTTGATATAATGACCTTTAAAAGGTTCGAGCGACTATCTTGTATGGTATGCAAATGAGTTTTACCTCATTTGGTTTTGCTTCGTGGTTATTGTACTGGCGCAAGGCTTATATACAGTTGAATTTGCAATCTTCCCGGTTGAATTATCTATATATAGTGCTATGTATTTATCATAGGAAATGTTAGCACATACGCCTAGTTTTACTCAACAGAAACGAAGAAAGAAAAAGATCACATGACAAGACAAAGAAACAAAGAGAAGTACACGCACGCAACTGAATTCCACGGGGAGAACGGCTCGTTTGCCGATACGAAACCCCA